GTGTGTGTGTGTGTGTGTGTGTGTGTGTGTGTGTGTGAGTGAGTGCTGCTAGAGGGAGACATTAATTTGTTTTTCTTTCAGATACTTAGTCAAGGAAGGCGAAAGTTTGTTTTTCATTTTGGTCAAGGGAGACGAGACCATTAGGTAGTGATCTCTACAACATATCTGTCTGTGTGTGGTGATTATATGAACACTTTATCGACACGCCTTAGTGCCGGGTGATCGTTTTTTGGTGGATAAATTAATGTATGCTACCATGACTCTTATTATGTTTATTGATGTTAGTTAATTCTATTAATCTTATTATTACTTTTAAGTTTTTGTTGTTGATATTTATTTTATTGCCCTCCTCTATTGTTACGATCACTTGACGATAAAACTGTTAATATTCATGGATATTTTTCGAAGGATATAATTTTGTTCTTATTTTTTTTTTTTGAGACAGGAAAAGGCCATAAAGTCTCGTGAAGATAATTGACCATTTTTTTCCCTTGGTCACTATTTAAGCTTAAAAATATATTTTGCCTGCAAGCTTTTAAGGTGTATTATTTATTTAACACTTCGGTAAACCTAGTAAGTCCTCGACTACTTGTTTATAATGCTTGGAATTGTGTACGAGAAACAAACATGCAGTCATGAATATTAACACGAACACACACATGTAAGACTACGCACGTACGAGAGATAGACGTACAGATAAGAATGTAGACACAAAGACACACATGAAAGAGACATAGATATTAATGTAAACACAAAGATAAAAACAAAAGAATATCTCAACTGTTTTATTACACGCGGAAGTAGGAAGTATATTGACATCAAGAAACTGGTCCCACTCTCTGTTAGTCACTCTTATGTGCCGAACACTCCGAGGCACATCAGGAAAAACTAACTGCTATTGCCCGAATGATTCCCAATAATATAATATCATGTTGCTCCAGTATACGAGTTTTCCCTGTATGATTGTTGGATATTTTCTTTCAATAGTTGTTTATTTACCCCAGTACTGTATTTACAACGGTACCTAAAGAGTAACAAATTCCGATAAGTTAAAATTAATGAATGCTGAAAAACTAAGTCAAAATGCAAAGATGTTTTATATACCGTTTTTTTTTACCTAAATTATACATTATGTTTTGTCTATGATACCGTTATAATTATATTACAGGCAACATAAAACATTTAGCATAAATGTGTCATTAGGTCACGAGCACGAGGAACTGTTTGCCAGAAGGTCAGCAGCGCCACAAAACTTAACCTTTTGACCCTCGCCCTGATACCTGCACGGAGTCTTGTTAGTTAGTTGTGTTGTCTTGACCTTAGTGGTGTTGGTATGTTGGGTTAGGTTAGGTTAAGTTAAGTTAATAATTCCGTTGACGTGGCGTTGTTAGGAGTACTCCGTTGTTATTAATGCTACCGTTGACGTGATGTTTTGATGACAGTAACATGTTTCGGTCTTGTAGTATTATTGTGGTGTTGTTTTCTGCACCAGTTAGTGTACTGTACTTTCCAAGGTTGGTTGTGTGAAATCTTTACACCTCGCCGCTTTAAGAAAATGAGTTGCCATATTGGGATGAAATATCACATGTATCGTGCGTTCAGTGGCGAGGAAAATAAAACTGGGGGGCGAGATGGGAACAGCATGACTGAAGAGAAATTTTCATGGGTGTTGGAAAATTCTAATACCTAGAAGAGAGAGAGAGAGAGAGAGAGAGAGAGAGAGACCTAATAGTACTGTACTTACATCTTAGCAGAAAATGAGAAGGTTATGATTAGCGAGAAAATATGGCCAATAAGCATCAACTATCTTACCTAACTTTATTTTTTGTAGTTACTGGTGATTATGCTGCTGTTAATACGTATTGTATTAGGTACCGTTTACTACACTTCTTGTTTTTGTTGTTCTTTTGATCAATTAATTTTTTGCTCCTGTTGGGTGATTGAACTTGTTGGTGTTGTGTTTATATGATTGGAGTTAATATTATCATTATATTACTAAGGAAATTAAAGGGCTGGCATTACAGGTGGTGATGGCGCCAAGGTAGGATGGCACTACAGGCAATGGTGGTGGTGGCACTGAAGTAAGATGGTAGTACAGGTGGTGGTGACACTAAACTAAGATGGCAGTTGGTGCCAAGTGATGGTAATAGGGTTACCAAGACACACACACACACACACACACACACACTACCGTCACCTTCAGCTCGACTAATTTGCCAGAGGTGGTTAATGGTCCAGTGGTCCAGTAGTGTGTGTGTGTGTGTGTGCATGCGTGTGTGCATGCGTGTGTGTGTGTGTGTGCATGCAATGTATATACTAATTGAGCTGTATGTTTAGAGTCCCAGCTGGTGGTTGGTTTAACACTTCTAGGGATGGTTTAATTCCCTAAAGACATTGATTTAATAGGATGGTGGTTTGAGACTTTTGGGATGAGGGTTTTTGACCATGGGAAGATGGTTTAACCCTGTCACGGCTGTGATTAAACAGGTTAATGATGTCACAGCATGAAAGTTTAAACCTTTAAGGGTTATACTTTAACACTTGACAAAGGTATTTTAAAATCGTCATCCTCAAAGGGTTAATGTTATCTTTGGTTAAGTGAAACGACCACGAATAAAACCACTAAACTATTTATTTTTTAATTTGATTGATGGGGAAACCTGGCCCAACTTAATGTAAGCCATAGAGACCTAACCTAACCTAAAGTAACGAGAGCTAACTTAACCTAAGCTAATGTAACCACGTGCCGAGGATAGTTTCGAGTAGGTCGGGTTACGATGGGTTGAGATGTGTCTTGAGAAATAAAAGGGTTAGCGGTCCTGTTGATGGTCCTCTTTTACTGGACCATTTGCCGGTCTGGTGGAGTGCTTAGGATCATGTCCACACAGTTGTTGTTCTTGACATGTTATTGACGAACTTGGTTGATGATGCGGGCCAAGTCATCAAGAGTCACTGTGGTATCCTGTAAGACAGGATACCGAAAAGCTGCTGCAGCTAAAATGGAGGACAGGAGAGGGGAAGCGGGGAGCTTCAGCAGCTAAAATAGGGGAGCGGCAGAAAAACTGCCAAACTGGCGTTGAAGGGAAGGGTGGCCCCACGCCGACGTGACGCCCAGGGTGATGGTGTAGTGTAGGGGCTGGCTGGCTGGCTGCTGCCGGCTCGAGCAAGGGCCACACCTCACCCCCTCTGCCCCTGACCCATCTCGTAATCGCCTTACCTCAGCTTACACACCTACAAACTTTACTGAACAATTCGATACGCAGGTGTGTGTCTTCCTTCCCGGCTGACTGTATAGACACGAGTCCTCTGTTTACCTTGTGATACGGCCCAGGTGCTCCACACCCGGCTACCCTCTTGATTTCCAGGCAGCGATGTTGGTGTTTTACGCTATTTAGATGTTAATGACACTTTCTGCTGTACGTATGCGAAATGAATCGCTCTCAGTGTATATTGGAGAGTATAGGAATGAAAGGTGAGAAGTGATGGTGATCGTCGTGCCTCTGGCGGTAGTATTGTGACACTAGTGGGCGGAGCTTCTGGTCCGGCATGCGTTTTGAAGCTAGATGTATTGGCGTATGAAGGTTCATGTGAAGGCGGAGAGTGAGTGACATAAACAGAGAGCGAAAGAGAGAGAAATTAAAGCACGCTGACTCACAAGTGCGTTTTCAAGGCATGAGCGAGACTAAGTAGAGTGTGTGTGTGTTTTGTGAGCTGGGTTGGCCAGTCCGGTATTGCCAGATGGTGGGACACGCCTAGGGCCAGGCCGGTGTAGTGTAGTGATGAGTGGGGGGTAGTAGTGGTAGTTGTAGTGGGGGGCCCTCGGGTGGGGGGGGGGACCTGCCGCCTCACTGTTTGGCATTGTTGCAAGTGGCCGTATTATCCACGTGGCGTTACTGAGTAGTGGTGGTGGTGGTGGCGGTGGTCCTGGACGGCCGGTTGTAAACATACCTACCTGCTGCCGGTAAAATAGAATGATATATGGTTGTAAATGCCATGAAAATTCGTGTAAGTGGCGGCGATGAACAACGTAAGTAGAGTTGTACCACGGTAATTACTGGCGTGGGTAATTACTTATTTACTCAATGGTAATGATAGAAGCAATACAGAGAGTGTAGCGGGACCACAGGTCATTACTGGAGCAGGCAGTCAGTAGAGAGGGAGGGAGCGGGTGTGTCGTCCCGCCATTGTGGGCCACCCTGCCTGATGTAAACAGTGTCACGTGATTGACGCCACCATCGACTGGACGCTGTTTCATGTGTCACTCAATCGGCGAGGGAGTGTTAAAATTAATGTTATCATTCATTTTACACTGTAAATATGCTCACAAATGATCTGGACAACACACACACACACACTGGTATATTTTAACTTCATGGGGAAAGGAAAGTTTAGATTTGAAAAATGTTATTATTGTCAGATTTGCTGGTGTCGACAACAGTATCTTATATTGCACAACCATTCTGGTCCTAAAATAGTTCAATATCCCGGTGTTTGGGCGAGAACTAAACTGTGTCGATGGTGATTTTTTATGGTGATTTTGGTCACCTTCTCTCACTCTATTTGATGGATCTGTAAAAATCAGCATTTATGGTCAATATTTTTCAAGTAATTTAACATGAGGTTAACTTATATCGCACTTGTCAATAAAGTGTAAGTAACAGTGTGTCAAGACAATAGTTACTAGCTACTACAACAAGAACGCATGAACACTGTATTTTGCTTCTAGTCCTGTAGCTGGATCAATATCATGTTCACTCGTGTTATTAAGCTTGTCCACACACACACACAAACACACCGTCTTGAGGCAATATAAATGTTGTTGTTTTTTCTTATACAATAGACCTATAACTATTCACTAACTGTTATCTACTAAATTCAGAATTGTGTTATTGGAATAGAACTGTAGACGGTTTATATTTTTTTATAGATAACGTGTGTAGGTAAGGGTGTATACGGCCTTACAAGCTTTATTAATAGTTTGTTTGTTGGTGATGTTGCAGGGTGGTGACTGCTGAGTACCGGCACGAGTATGGACAGTTTGCCGTCACTGCTGTAGCGTCCGGTGATACGCCATCGATTTTACTGGTCGTGGTGAGTGTGAACATGACAAGTAGGAGAGTGAACGTCAAGTAAAAAAAAAAAAAAAGAAAGAAATTAAAGAAAAACTCGGTGGATGGATAGGGGGAAACAACAATAAGGAAGTAGGAAAACGACCTAAAAGTGTATGTAATGCGTCTCAACTGCCGTGTTTGTTCTGCTACCTCCGCGTTTCATACCGCCCGTGTGTGCCAACCGTGACGTCACCACATCCCGCGTGTGCAACAGTGACGTCACTGACTAAAGATGATTGACGGGAAGACTCCACCCTCGCTCAGCCCGACGGTGCCCTCCATGGGGTAAGTTCCAAGTCTACTTTTCCATCCTATTTTCTCCATATTTATTTCTATTCCCTCCTCTGTGCTCCTAACCCTCCATATTTTATCTTACTTGGATTATATCGCTTGGCTATACCGGAGATGTTTTATAGGTAACGTGACTGGTCTTCCATCACCTTTAATTAACTCAAAATATATAGTCGGGTGTGGTGAAGGCACTTAACTTTTTTATTTTTTATCTTGAAAATAATCTGCCGCCCTAGAAGCTAATCTAAATAGTTCTATCGAGGTAAATCATGGTGTAATTATTTGTATTATTATATTTATTAATATTTTAATTATTATTATTATTATTATTATTATTATTATTATTATTATTATTATTATTGTTTTTGTTGGTTTGCATGGTAGCATAAATACCTTCGCACAGGTCAACATTGCATGCAACTTACCTTTCACATTTGCAGGTACAGTATCACAATTTAATATCAGGGATGCTTGAAACTTATCAAGCTTCAATCTGAGAACCTGTTTCAGTCTTATATTTAAAAGCTACATAATATAAAGAACGATGATACGGTAGACCTTTAAGTCAGAAACATTACCGAGAAAACCCCCACACATTTAAAATAACTCCAGTATTAACAGTCAACACCGCCTGGCGTTCCCCATCACCCCACAATGTTCACGCTTAAAGGCGCTACGTCAGACGAACCTTAGCTTGCTTGCTTTACAGTATGTTTGCATTGGTGTTTTTTTTTTTATGAGAGTATTAATGCCTGCCTGAGTTACGTCCTTAATTCGGGGAAGAAGTAAGAGGTGAGTAAGTATTAACATAGTCCAAGTCTGAAGGTCAAGTGTGAAGTTAGATCTGTGTTTGGTATTTTAGTTTGATCAAGTCTGAGATTAAGACTTACGGGGTTTAAAGACTTAATTTTTTGTTTTATTTTCTGATGAAGATGAATAATGAAGGTCAGGGTGAATAAATATTAATATTGGTCACTTTGTGTGTCAGAGATGATAAGTTTAAGATGCACAAACAGACATACGATAATTTTTTCTTGATGAAGTAAGAGGATTTAGTTGTAGAATCGTCTTGCAGGCTAGATCTTATATTAATCTCACTTTTGTGCCGTAACTCAGTGAGCAAGTCGAACGCGTTTTCTTATCTCAAGTTAGAGGAGAATTATAAAATGAACGAGAACTTTTGAGAATCATCCCGAAACAAGACCTTATTTATATTACTGTGCAGTCACAGGGCAAAGTCCAGGTTCTGTTTGAACGAGTCTCCAAACTACCTGAACCAGACTGCTGTAAACTTTTAGGCTTGGTAATGTTTCAAACAGGAGTGTAGAGGAAATTTTGTTCGTGTGTGTACATCCAATTCGTCCCCATTATCATTATTTTCTGAACATGTCTCCCGTTGCCTCTTCTACAGCCCCACCGACTATTATATATCTATTACACCCTTGAAACATATCCGGCGTACACCCTATGGCCTATACCTCCCTCACCCCACCCGCACCTCCCCCCCATACCTCCCCCATACCTCACCCCCACCTCACACCTCACCCCGTCCTCACCCCCAACACACCTGACACAAGTTTTTGACTTTGGGGGGGAGGGGGAAATCTTCGGAGTACAGGGTATAAGTCACGCTAGTTATACTAAGGTACGAATCTCCCAGCCGTGGAGGGGGTAGGTACTGTAGGTGGGAACGAGAATTAAGTGAGTATAGGAGGGAGCGACGATGGGTTGATATGTGGGAGGGCGGGAGGGTGAACTAGGGTTTTTAAGAGAGAAAGATGGCGAGAAAGAAGATTAGAGGAGGAAGGGGGTTAATAGTTCGGAGATTGGAGAAGTGAGGAGGTGAGAGGGACGTAGGTAGGGAGTATGAGAGGCAGGGAGGGAGGTAGGGAGTATGGGAGGCAGGGAGGTAGTAACTCTCTCAATCTCCTTCCTCGACCAACAGTAATCCACATTATAACAAGTCACCATTAACCAGGCTAGTGTCCTCTTGTTTATGATTTTTTTGTTCTTTCTTTTTAGAGCTGCCGGTCAGTGTTGATTGCCTGAACGGTAAGGGAGGCACGCGCGCGCGTGCGTGCGTGCGTGTGTGTGTATGTGTGTGTGTGTGTGTGTATGTGTGTGTGTGTGTGTGTGTATGTGTGTGTGTGTGCGTTTGTTAAATGTTTTTTGTATTTTCTTGGGGTCCAGACAACCAATTGATGTTCCAGCAACGAAGACACATTATGGTCATATTCTCAAATAATCATGACACTTGTTCTCACCCCTTAGGATACAGGCTCAGTGTAACAACGACGTCATATTAGCCGCCACCTCTGCCTTGTCGTTACCTGGATTCCTTCCTTAACATTCACAGGAACAATTGATCAATGTCATCTCTCTCAACTCGACAACTGTTATAAAAAAAATGGGATCACATGAAGATGAGCCACCCAGTTTATTTTATCCGAAATTTAATCTCCCTAACCTAACCTAACCCTCGGGTATCTTTAGGGTTTTTAATCTTAAGGCGAAATAAGTAAGGCTATATACAGTATATCTAATCTTCAGGTGACCTAAAAAAAAAAAAAAAAAAAAAAAAATATATATATATATATATATATATATATATATATATATATATATATATATATATATATATATATATATAAGCATATTGGTGGTTGACGCTGAAGGGCGTAGTTAAACAAGGATGCAATTTTACTTGTAGTGTAAGCAATTTAGTTGTTATTCTTGTTAAAACCGGCTTATCAAATACACTGCTATTAAATTCGAGGGGATATTGACAAAAATATTACACATATCGATTTAAAAATTGATATAGTTGTACATGGAACTGACCAGTAGTGAATAAACCAAAACCTGAAGAAAATCATTATCGTATTAATATAAGTTGTGTGTTATTGGAAATCATCATCAAGTAACAGATAACTTGTAGTGTTAAAGAAAAAGAACAGTGAACAGTTTTAGAAAACGGGAATAAAAAAGACATTCACAGAAAATGGGGAGAAAATTGAGTCATAGAAAACGTTTGATGTCATAGAAAACGGCGACACTACTGGCAGTGGTAGAAAACGTATTAATAAAGATAGACACTGCCATGTTTTTTAGTCCCGCTGGCGGAATTTAATGATAATAAAATTTTATTAATGGGGGGAAAGGGTGTGTGTACATCTGAGGGGAACTTTTTAAAATTTGGGAGAGGGAGTGTCAGTTTTTGGTGTTTACTGGGGATGTGACGGGTGAGTGAGTGGGGGGAGGGGGTGTGGCGAAGACTGGGGGGCAGGAGGTGTGTAGTGCGTGAGGACGAACAGGGATGAGGAGGGAGGTAGAGGAGGGGATGGTTTGTTGTGGGTGGGGTGAGGACGTGGGGGTGAGGCTATTTCAGGGAGTTGGATAGGGGAGGGGAGGAAAGAGTGAGGTGAGAGGTAGGGGAGGAAGGAGTGAGATGAGGGGTAGGGGAAGGGATGAGGAAGGAGTGAGGGGAAAAGGATGAGGGGAATTTATACAGAGAGAGGGGGGTAGTTGAGACAATTTGATGTAGGTTTGATATGTGTAACCTGTCATTTTCATTACGGTATTTTGTTATCCCCGTGTGTGTGTGTGTAGATTTTCAGCGAGGGAATTTCAGGGTGAGGTTTAAGTGTCAAGATGGTTCCCCTCGGGCCATGGACCATGTTTTCGTGTCAGAGTTATGGCCTTTGTTGTCTAATGGCCTGGGGGTGATTTATAATGCTCAGGTGAGTTTTATATTGTACTTATTTTGGGTTGAGAGAGAGAGAGAGAGAGAGAGAGAGAGAGAGAGAATCGCTATTTGCTTTGTGATTATCTCTATTTGTCTGTCGATTGGCTGGGGAAGCTGAGACTGTGTTGGGAGGGAGGGTAGAGAAGTGGTGAAGGATAGGCAAAGAGAAGAAGGAAAGGATAGGAGAGAGGCAGGTGTCTGTGTGTGTGTGTGTGATTACGAAACCAAAATTGTCAGGTGAAAACATGCAACAGGTGATTTAAATACAAAAACAACACACTAAAACCAAAACAAGTTAGTGTACAAGCTCAAATAGATGAGCATAAAAACATGAACCAGCAATTCATGCCTCGGGATTCCACAAGCAACACAATTTTTTTTTTTTTTTTCCTTTTTTTTATATTCTTTTTCTTGTAACATGTCCTTTTTATATAAACTTGATAAACGACAAAGTTCTCAGATGGGAAAAATAACCACACGAAGTAAAATATTAACACTAAAACATAAATTGCCGTTAAGTAACCTCAAACCTGATGAAAATAAATGTTTGCTAGTCCACAGTTGATACTCTCAGGTTACTAGATACTGATTTTTTGTTTTTACTTACTAATTTATTTATTTTTTCACTTCTGCATGGCGGCCAATATATATCTCTTTTGTGTAACTTTGTGTTTGTATTATTTTGCCTGAGAGACATAAGCCTCTGGTAGGTCTTCTTCAGTCAGTAGAGAACATTGAAAGCAGTTGGATGGAAGTGTACGTGAGCATAGTGAATATGGCCTTCAGCAGGAGTGTACAGTAGTATTGAGCAAGGTCAGTGTTGGCAGTGATGTGTGGGAGGTAGGGTGGGTGGGGGGGGGGGAGAGTTCCTGCTTGCGCGTGTGGGGAGTAACGAAGTGAGGAGTGATATCAGTAACGTGGCAAATGTTATACTCTGCAATACACATTCACTCCTTCACCTTGTTCACCTACATTATCTGTCTGTCTTCATAAAACGTTGAAAAAGTCTGAATTTTAACGACCATTTTTGTTCTTAGTTTTAAAGATATTGTGTTTAATATACCTATTGTGTATATATATAAATACATTCTGTGTGTGTGTGTGTTTTCTCGTGTTTTTATGGCTGGTATTAGTGTCACTGTTCTCGCCAGGCTCATGTGTTGTGTTCGTGTAGTTGACAGACTCGAGCGAACAGCAGTGTCTTTAACTTGCAGGAGAAGGTGAGGAAAGGTGAAGCACTAGTGATAGC